GGAAGCAATACAAATTGGTTGTGTTTAATGAGTTTTCCCCAGGAACCAGACCCATTTCCAATGGACTAAATGTCAGAAGGGTTTTAAGGGTTAGCATCCTAATCAAAAAGCTCCTTTTGTTTGTTTGTATTTTGAAGCTGTTGTGAACTTGCAGATGCTTAGGGAAGTAACCTGGAATGTTGAACTGAATGCTGGACATCACTTCCATGCAACTGGTCTGATCTTCCCCAGGTCCTTGTCCATTGCTGGCAGTGGACACCCCAGAGTTGGCACAATTACAGAGCATTGATAACTCACCACTCATGTTCAACACCTTTTTAGCAGCTTTTTGTCTTACGTAGGCATTGAAACATGGGTGTGGGGCATCACACTGCTTCCACTTGACTGACTTTACACGTGTGTTTGCAATTAATGCACAGCATTTTATGTTCAGCAACAATAAGGGCAAAAAAACAAGGGTGTATCGAATAAACTCCACTGTGCCAAATACTCAACAAATATTGTAACTGCAGATATTTGATTCTTGGTTTTCAGCCATGTTAAGAATCACTTGATTAATGAAGGAGTTTAAGGAAAAAAAAAGTTATTAAGCTATGCAGTGCCATTGTTATGTTGGGTGGTAAATGATGCTTTTTAGACCATTAGATTGGTTTAGTATATCCTGTCTGCTAAAATAGAGATACTGCATCCATAAAACAATGAATTTTAAAAAGGCACAGGGTGCATAACTGTCTCATAAAATATGTATAATTGTCAAGTATAAGCCTTTGAAATCATTCTGTACAGTTCTCTTCATTTTGGAAATTTATTACTTAGACTGCTGTCTTTTCAAATGTTAGCTCATAATTTTATACTATACACACACATTCAGACTTGAACACAAATGTCACAGAATAGAACCTTTCTAAAAGCCCGATTGCTTGAAATTCTATAACCTCTTTCACAATTCCATTTCTCCCTGAGAGTGTTCAAGGTGAAGGAGAATAGCTCACTGACATGATGCAAAACAAACTCCCGGTGTTCGAGAGCTGTGGTTTGTCAGTACAGTCAAAAGTCCCCCTTGACCGGAGTTATAGAAACAGGATTCCAGGGCACTTAACGTTTTTATTATTGCTTGGTTTTTTTCATTTAATCTCTTCTCGTGGTATGTATGGGAGACGCAGTTGAATGGAGTTACGTACATTATTTTTAAGCTGTACCTTAAAATTCCTGCATGATTCTTGTTTTATTTCTTTTCATTATGTGTCGAAAGGCTCTCTCCACATCTCACTTTTTTGTTTTTAAGAATGTATCAGATGCCTGCATCATGAAGGGCTTTACTGTCAGTGCTTTGGTACAGATTCAAGAACAGAGCTTTAGTTTAAAGAAAACACACAGACCAAAACCTTCATCCATCCCAGCAGGCTCTTTGTTTTTTCCGATTTCAAAACCACAAGGCAGTTTTGCCTGAGACCCAATTGTTGTTACAGAATAACAAATGAAGAGTCTGAGACATCTTCCTGCTTTCCAAATTGCAGTATGGGCCTTCGCCTGTCAGCACTTCACTACCATCCCACAACTGCCTTAACCGTGCAGGGCACTCAAGAACGAGGATGGAGTTAGAAAAATGCCCGTTCCTGGGAACAGAGGCAGGGGCACGGGCTGAGCTGTGCAGTCCGCATCCAACGTTGGAAATTTTTTCTCCATATTCAGGGGCATTGAAATTCAGGGTTTTGTTGAGACCTCACTCTCAGCAGAAATGCTACTTTGACATTTCCAAGCACTGTGTTCCCTGCATGGCTGTCTGCTACGGAATGGGATGTTTGACAAAATAAACTACTTGAGATTTAGCAGTCTCTATGGGCTTGTCCAGTTGCCTTGCATGACTTCAGGTTGGGGTTTCCTTTCCCTTGCACAGATACCACCTTGGCATAGCCCCAGTGGAACTAAAAGGGGACCCCAATCTAAAATTGGTGCAGATGACCCTAAAGTCGGTTTCTTTGCATCCTTGTGAACGAGGGGATGCATTTGCAGAACCTTCTTTTATATATATTGAAATCCTAGATTTTCCTGACTTCGCCCAGCACATCTTGGATGTACAGTGGGACCGAAAAGGCCATCGCTTGAATTATCTAGACAAGCCTTTCATTCCTTGGGAATTCAACTAATAGAGGCCTCGCGCTGCCATACCCCTGTGAGATGCACTGAACTACTCAGCACTGCTGCTGTTCATCTCGGTTTGTCTCACTTTGCTGGGAAGGTGAAGAGGTAAAGACCCAGAGAGTAATTAGCTAAAATTAGCTGAGTTAGCTATGCTTCAAAATGCTTCAGAATTGACCTGATGGTCTGCAGACATTTGGAAAGTGATTGGAGTATTTCCAAATGGCTGAGGTGCATTGGCATTTTTTTCTTGAAAAAAAAAAATATTAAGGGAATGAATGAGATTCGAAGTCCCTCTTATCCCCATCAGAGTTTTATGTTCATCACATTGCTGTTGGAGGTAATGTAATTCAGGTTTACCTTTGTGTCTCAGCCAGACACATACTTTTTTCTCAGTAAATGAGGTCCTGGGAGACAGAAAGGCGGCTCCATCTCATAGCCAGCAGTTTCACTCCACAGCAAACCCAAGACAAGCTGAAGGCTACCAGCACTGGGAAGCTTTAGCCCCCAAGTCAGCCAGGGCTGTTGCTGCCATGGGAGAGTTTGTCACAGCTGGGGCTGTTGGGCTCAGGATTTTCTTAAGACTTGGACAATCTCGGTGTGATGTTTGTTTTATTCTTGGCAGGTGACATGGGGAATTGTCAGTATGGAAGACACATGCAGATGCTTCACTGGACTGATGTGATACCAGCTCTGTTCCTTTCTTCACAAGGGTTTCCAGACTTATTCCCACTCTGCCTTTAGGCACAGCCATGCACATCTGTCTCCCTAATTCCACATGAACTATCTTTGCAAATACAAGCAGGTTTGTTGTTCTCTCTCTAGATCTGATTAATGCCTGCAAAGTTCACAGACTCTCTGTGTGTAGAGCAGAGCACACCTGAATATTAGCAATAATACGGACCTGTTCCTATTTGCATTAGGAGTTTTTGCTTTTCCTACCTAAATCTGAGTTCACCTCTCCCAACATCCCACGCTGGTGCTGTGACTCATTTTTTTTTATTGGCAGCAACACCAGGAGACAGGCAGCCAAGATACAATTGGTGTGAATATATGCAGTGGTTTATTAAGATGGGCAGTCGTGTGATGAGAGCCTTTGGCGTGAGCCAGGCTCAGCTTTGGTTTTCTGATGCTTGAGATTGATCCAAGGACGAAAGAAACAACCAGGGCATTGTGTCCCCAGAGTCCCTGAAAGGATTAACCA